GCGGCCTGCCCCTCCACCACACGCCTGGCAGCTCCGGCTCGTTCACCGCACTGCCCCGAACTTCATCTTCGGCAGTTGGGTCTGAACGCTTCCTCTTTTCATGCCTCATTTTTAGCTGGATGCTGATAACTACGAGACTGATCCATGCCTGAAGGAGATTCGGAGAGCGGAAAATTATTCTTGGATGGATATAGTAACCATACATAAGGACAAGCTTCCAAATTACGAGGAGAAGGTACGCGAGTCTTTGCGTTGGGGATCTGCAGGCCGACATCTGCCGCTAGAGTGTGCAGCCGGCTTCCCCACACCCGCACACCCCACAGGGCACGAGGATGAGGTTTCCCTGGGCAAAATACATCCCCTACCGAAGTCCTTAACGTTAAAAAAGCGGTCTTGATACTATTTTAAAAACAGCAGAGGCGTTTTGCTTCTGTAGATTGCCTTCAAAGGTTTTGAGGGTAGTTTTCATCGCTCTGTCATTTCAAAACCAAGATTCCCACCAGCAGAGCCCCGCTGATGCTGACCTGTCCTTGAAGAGCCTCCCGGGATGAAGGCAGGTGGCTGCCAGCTGGGCATGGGCTTTGAAGGCTGGAACATCCTCATGGCTGCTTGCAAAATACGTCTTTTCAAAGTGAATGTTAACCTCATGGGATCGGAGGGACACATTCCCTGTACAAGAGGGTTTTTTTGCCTTGGGAAGCTGGTACCTTGGCTGTTTTTTAACAGTTCCATGCAAACAGTGCCAGGCTCTCAGATGAGCCCCCTGGAAGGAGCTTTCTCTTCCAGGTCTCCGGCTGCTGGCATGCTGCTCTGACCTGAGGATGGCAACCCAGAGGCGCTTCCATATTTCATTGAATTTCCATTTACCAGTTTGTTTTCAGCCCGTTGTGTTATATTGGTTTGAAATGGAAGGTGAACTAGGTAGTATCTCAGGTTGCTGGGGTGGCTGTAGCTGACACAAAGATGGGTTGTTATTGACGGGGCATTATGGACTTCTGCTTGTCCTGCCAAGCTGGGTTGGTGCTGGCGTGGCTGAACGGCACCGAGGCCTGGGCAGGTGATACTATCTGGCTCTGCACTGCTCTCTGTGTGCTGACCTGCTTAGGCTTCTGTTAATCGAACCTTTAAAGCATGATTTGTTTTGGGCTGTGTGAAATGTATAAGAATTCACCATTCCCGAAAAAAAAAAAAAAAAGTTGCTGCTGCTGCCCGGGAAGAGAGAGCCTGGAGCTCACTGTGTTGGGACAGGTGTGACGTGCGGTTGACATCCGACTGCTGTAGATGGGCCATGGTGGGCAGAGACTGCATTTTCACATAGAGCGGTAGTAGCCCATAGGGCTGATCCAACCCTACACCTGTGTAAAGGAGGAGAGGATAATCTCTAGCTCTGTTTTATTTTTGCATGTCTGGGGAAAGAAAAAAAAGGTACAAAATGATCAAACTGGACAACTGTGAGGACCAAATCCTGCAGGGGGAAGCCTCACCCGCCTCTCTCAAAAGGGTGTAAGCATTACTATTATTCAGAGGCTGTCATATGCAGCTCTAGCTGCTGGTTTTTGTTAGAAAAAATCCTGTTTTCCAAAGGAAATGTAGCAGTCTACTGAAAAGTGTCCTGAGACAGGGTCTGTCTGGCTGGGTTGGCCGTATTGACCGTGTTGGTCTAACATGTTGGTTAAATCACCGCCCAGTTACCCTTTGAAAGCCAGTGTCTGCTTTGCCTCATGTTTCTACCAGATTTCTTTGCGGTTTTTGTGTGTTCTGTAGTTTTAAGAGATACTTGCTGTTCCTAGATAAAAACGTTTTATGAAGAACATTTACACCTAGATGATGAAATTCGCTACATCTTAGATGGATCTGGGTATTTTGATGTTCGAGACAAGGATGACAAATGGATCCGGATTTCCATGGAAAAAGGAGACATGATAACCCTCCCTGCTGGCATATATCACCGATTTACGCTGGATGAGAACGTATGTTGTTATAGATTACTGCAAATTTTGATGACAAATCCACGTGAGGATGTATCACATTAGTAACTACGTGCCCGGAGACTTGCAGTTCATTAGCAAAACATATTAAATATGAAGTAGGAATATGAAAAATACTAAATAATTCACAGCATCTGAACCTTTCATCTCCAGGTCACAAATCCAGCTTCCTTTCGTCAGCTGTAACTGCAAGTCATTGCCACGTGATAGCCATAGCGTGTCTTGGGTGACAGCAGTGTGGGAGCCGAGCCCAGCGGTTGTCCCTCACACAACTGCCCCCGCTGTCGGCGGAGGGAGAGATGGTGTAGATGGATCCTTCTGTGTTGCCTTGTTGTGCGTCTTCCTGGGGATGGACAGAGCATGTCTGTCCAGCAGTGGCATTTTTCATGGGGGCTAAATTCGCCTTCGGGGAAAGAAGGATTTAAGGGTCCAGAGCACTCCTTGCAGCTAGATGTGCTAGACTGGATGCTGGCTTCGCAGGAGGTGACCTGCTTTCCAAGGGTATTTTTGGCAACAGGATTGTGAGGTTGGCACATGGAGTCCTGATCTCTGTGTCTGTCCTTGTGGGCTTTTATAGATAGGTTTGTAACCTCGTCATTCCCCCAGGAAGAGGGGAAATGCGTGCTGTCTCCTGTGTGGGAAAATTCCATCTTGAGAAAGGTATAATTTTGTATCAGCTGTCTAGGTAACAGTTACTGGATCTGTAAAAAAAGGATATGCTGCTGTGGTGAAAAACCTGACTTTTCACGTCTGTGTTTCGAGATCCATGGTGAATCAGCTACAATTTAAGGCTTTTTCTTTCCTTAGACAAAGTGCCAGGGGCTATAGCTTGGCTCCACAAGAAGACTTAGATGTTTGTCCACTCCAGGAACTTCAGTTCCATAATGCCACCATCAATGTAAATTCGTTAGGTGCTTCTAGACCCATCAGGTGCCTAACTTTCTCCTTGCCACTGCCAACTGCCCGGGTGCTGGGTGAGCGCTTAGCAATATTTACAAAACAGGTGGGGTCGAAAGCTGCAGCCTTGTCGGCAGAAGGGGAGAGGAGACTTTCCCGTAACTCCAGCTGAGGTTGGAGCACTTCTGCAGGACAGAAAAATCCCGTTTGCAGCTGCCACGGTGGCACCTTCGCACCTGGAGACTTTTGGTTGCCTGGTGACGGGGGCTGTTGCTTTTCCTAATGGAATCTGGAGACATTGCACTTCCAGCAATGGTGGTTTTTTTTTTTTGGCCAGCTTATGCACACCCCATTCGGCTCGCACTCCGAAGCCTCTGGTTTTCCTCAAAAGCCGTGTCTAGCCACCGTGGGTGTTCTGCTTGCGCTTGTTTGACTAAGGAATTAGTCAAACTGCTCAGTATTGTGGATCCGGCGCAACAGGATTTGGGTGAGACAGGACTGTGCTGGTTTCTTTGAAATGGGGAGAAGTTCCGTCGCTGCCTGAGCTGGAGGCACTGGCGACGACAGGGTCTGTTGCTGCACAGGTGCACGATTTCCCGGTGCAGTAACTGGGAGCAGGATCAGCAGCGTAGTCATACAGTTCTCTCAAGCACGTGAAGCTGTTGGTCCATACTGAAGTAGCTTCAGAAACTGCAGCCAAAAGTCCAAATAAAACCATTAACATCAGAATTAATGATCCAGTGGAAAGGAACTCTTAAATTACTTGTGACTTCTTGTTCTTTGGCAGAATTATGTGAAGGCGATGAGGCTGTTTGTAGGAGAACCCGTCTGGACGGCATACAACAGGCCAGCTGATGATTTTCCTGCTCGGAAACAATATGTGAAGTTTTTGGCTGAAGAAGCACAGTAACGGTGTCTGAGACCTGACGGGTGGAACAGCCTGCAGTGCTGTCAGAATACACGTGACTGGTGGCTTTTCGCTGATTAGACTACTTCTGTTTATGTACACACTTAGAATCACAGAATCGGAAAAAATTAGGTTGAAAGGTCATTTAGAGGTCATCTAGCCCAACCCTCTGTGAAGTACCGAGCCAATTACAAAGCTAGACCAAGGCGCTCAAGACCTTGAGGCTTGGAAACCTCCAGTGGTGGAGGTTCCACAGCCTGCCTGGGTGCCCCTTCCAGCGCTGAGCTGCTCTTGGGGGCGAGCGTTTGTTCTTCATGGCCAAAACCCTGGTAGCAGCGTGCAGCTGTTGTCTCTTGCCCTTTCACTGAATGCCTGAGGAGTCTGGCTCTGTCTTCTTCACAGAGAGTGGTGAGGCACTGGAACAGGTTGCCCAGAGAAGCTGTGGATGCCCCATCCCTGGAAGTGTTCAAGGCCAGGCTGGATGAGGCTTTGAGCAACCTGGTCTAGTGGAAGGTGTCCCTGCCCATGGCAGGGTGTTTGGAACTAGATGGTTCTTCAAGGTTCCTTCCAACCTAAACCATTCTGTGATTCTATTCAATGATTCTCCCCAGTCCCTTCTGGGGAGCTGTGGGAAGCTGCAGTTAGGTCTCCCCTCAGCCTTCTGTTCTCCAGGCTGGACAAACCAGTGTCCTTACCTGGGCTTTCTGCACCCCACATTGTTGCGGAAGGTGTTACACCGTGATTTGCCCTAGTTTTGACTACCAAGGAATGTAACCACTGGACAGGCTTGGACCACTGACTGTTTTGAGCCCGATGGTCCAGGAGTTTTTTCCACCCTCCATGTAGTTCCTAGCCTCAGTGCAGATACTGTGGGATGCACTGCTGAAAGCCTGGCTGTGGGCAAGGGGAATGATATCTCCGCCGCAGAGCCAGTCATTGCCTCCAGGGTGGCAGTCAGGATCGTCAGGCCGAATGTGCCCTTGGTCAATGGGCACTGACTGGTTGTTCCCCATCACCTGGTGTTTCATGTGCCTGGAATGGCTTTTGTAATAGCTTATTCCGTAGTTTTCCCAGGAACTGAAGTGAGGCTGGCCAGAGTTCCCCAGATCCTCTTTCTCACCTTTTTGAAGGTGGTGGAATAATTTGCCTTTTTCTGGTCAGTAAGACTTCCCTGATCACTGTGACCTTTCACAGATGGCAGCAGCCTTGCAGTGACTTCAGCCAGCTGCACTTAGAGTTGCTCAGGAATCCGTTTTCTAACCTTTTTTCCCTGATATTTCTGGCAGGTGGAATTGGGAGAGCTGGGCTACATTAATACTCCTTCTGCTGCGAATCCATGCCGATGAACTATGTAGGATTCTCTTTTTAATTAAAGAAAATAAACCTTGCTGCATTCTTGTCTAAAAGTGTTCCTAAGATAAATGTGCATAATCGGCGTTTTAGTATGCAGCTTCCTTAGTTCTGCCCTGGTACATGGAGCTGTGGTTTCCTCTGGGTAAGATGTAGCAATTTGCTCTTGTGCCTTACTGATAAAATTACTGTGAGTTGGGTGCGGGCTTTTCTTCCCTTGTGCTGACGCTAAGGACACACTCCACAACAGTGTTAGTGTGACCGTTGAGCTTTTATTCCTTGTGCTCCTGCTGGCTTGTTCCGTAGGACAGGATAAGCCGGTAGCTGTGCCTCGGTTTCGTTAGCTGTGAGGTGAAGAGGAGGCTTGGGCACACCAGTTCGTTTTCCAGGGGACGTGCAGCTCCTCAGCAGCGGGCGCCGAGGTGTTTTGGTACAAACGTGCTCTTTGCAGCGATGAGCAGCGGGAGCTGGGCAGATGCAGTGCTCACACCTGCTCTGGATGGATGGTGAGAGCCCGGGCTCTGTGCTGGCAGCAGCCTGCGTGCCGATTTCAGCCAGTGCTTCCCAAGCCTGGCTGAGGAACTGGTGTTACGAGCACGTAGGAAGCGTAACGGTACCCAGACAGGCATCGGACAGGCTCGCACGGATGCTGTGCTGCGTCGCGCCCCATCGGTTCGGGGTTTGTGTGGCACGTGTCTGGAAGGAGCGCTTTGAGTGTCCTCCTGGGCAGCACGCTGGGGCATCCTGGTCCCAGAATACCTGAAGGGGCTACAAGGAAGCTGGGGGGGACTTTTTACATGGGGCTGCAGTGAGAGGACAATGGGTAACGGGTTTAAATTGAAAGTGGGGAGGTTTAGATTAGATATCAGGAAGAAATTCTTCCCAGAGAGGGTGGTGAGGCACTGGAACAGGTTGGCCAGAGAAGCTGTGGATGCCCCATCCCTGGAAGTGTTCAAGGCCAGGCTGGATGAGGCTTTGAGCAACCTGGTCTAGTGGAAGGTGTCCCTGCCCATGGCAGGGGGGTTGGAACTAGATGGTCTTTAAGGGCCCTTCCAACCCAAACCATTCTGTGATTCTATGATTAAACCTGAGGGATTTTTCAAGGTAGAGCCGCAGGAATAAATGACAGCTACTGCTGGCACTAAGTTTTATTCCTTTGACTTATGTGCCACATAAAATGGTGTTTCTGAACCCAAAGTACGACTGCTCTCTCCTGGTGCTGGTGTCAGTCCCTGGTGTCCAGTCAGACTCATCCTCCTGCTTTTGGTTTTTCTAACCGAAGTCACTGTGAGGCTCCTCATCCCTCTGGGCCTTTCCGTTCTGCTCTCTGCGAAAGGAGAAGGGGAGGCAGCAGCACGGGCTCTCGGGAACCCCCATTTACAGCACAGCCATCCTGTAATGCGACAGGGGGGTGACTGGGAAGAGACCGCAGGTAACGTGCTCTCCTCGGGAGAGACGTACGGTTTGGAGGCAGGGATGAGGGATGGACAGGAAAGCGGCTGCCCGCCGCGACTGCTTTCAGCAGCTCGCTGATGTAGGATGCGACCTGGGAAGCAGGACTGAACCACCTTGTTTTGTTGCCTCTCCGGAGGAATATATACACCCAGCGCAGCTCCCATCTCCCGGCTGTCAGGAGTAACACACAATCGCCCCGCTGAGGATCGTTCATCATTTTCATGGCACGATGCATTCTGCCGCTGAGGGGTGGCGGGGGCTGCGGGGGTCTTCCTGTCAACGCTTTTCAGTCCCTGCCCTTTAGCGCTGTAGGTGTCTTTGAAGGGGTGAAAGCTTTGCTCTCCGAAAGCGTTTTTTTGTCAGCCAGGAAAAAGCAATTTAGGTCTGGTATAAAGATTCTACACCTGTGAAGAGATTACATGGGAGATTACACTGGGAGGGAACAGCTGGGCAGGAAAAAGGACGTTAATATTAATAGAAAACACTCCAGAGAGTGGAGGGAGCGGGGACACACCGTCTCGCTAGCGGTTTATTTTCATGGCGATTTTTTTGGTTTTGGGTTTTTTTCTTTCCCCCTCCCCCCCCATATCCCATATATCTAAAAGCATAAAGTGAGATTGATTTTTTTGGTCCAAAACCGAGTCTGTTTTACTGCAGCTAGTGGAAAATCTCGGTGCATTGATGTAGTATGAAAATTTATGTAAGTGGTTCCTGCAGCATTAACTCCAGGGGAATATTTCAACTCCTCCAGGATTAGAGTTTAAAAAAAAAAAAAACCAACGTGTAGGAGAAATGGCACTGAATTGAGGAGTTTGAGCTTTTTTGGTACCTGTTTTCCACTTTAATCCAAGCTTTTCTCAAGTGGCGTATACCTCAGTTTCTCAGGAGCAGCTTAAGAGAGCAGTGGCCTTGTTTTCTGCGGGCAGATCTGGAGCCAGCTGTGGACATTGAGCGGGCTTTCTAATATGGTAGGGGGGCAGCCAGATGGCTGCAAAATTTGTGATGCTGCTCTCCCTCACTATGTGTCTTTGGATATCATAAAGCAAGGACACTTCACAGCCTGTAGTGAACCAGTAGCACCCACGCCTGGTGCCCGTGCGTGGGTGGAGGGAAATGCTGGGTGTCTCGCCCTGGGCTGCTGAGAGCAGGGGCTGTGCTGCTCCCCGGCAGCTGAACACGACAAGTGTAACATCTTCACGCGCTCGGAGCATCGGGTGGGTCCTCTTGGCAGAACAGGCGCTCTCCTGCCTGGTTTCTGACTCCAGGGTTTAGCTTGGACTAGGAGTTTATGAGGAGGGATGGTTTCCTGACGCATACCAGCTGGCACACGCCGCTGCGCGTAAAGGCTGAGGTGGAGCTGAGCACAGCTTTGAAGAATATTCCTGGTAGCCAAGCAGTGGATTTAGATATTTGGCGAGGCAGGGGCTGCAGACCTGACCTGTGCTATGCTGGAAAATTACATCACCTGTTTGGGTGCCTTCCCGTGAAAGTGATAGAAATTCCCAGGTTCCCTTCCCTCTCCCTGAAACAGGGTCAGTGCCAGCTGTCTGCTGTTTCCCGAAGCCACGTAAACAGAGCAACGCACTGGGGGATGAGTTAGTGCTGCAGTTTAAATATTCCTGGCTCAGAGATCCAGATCTGATCTGATCTGATTTGCTGCACTTACCGTGACTTTACAGCGTGATTCCCAAAACACTGCGTTTGCAGACAGGTACTCCGCCATACCTGCACTTCGGAAACCCTGTTTTTATGTGACCGAGTTGCTAGCTCTCATCTTTTATTAACTGTATAAATACCCAGATAAGAATGAAAATGTCAAAACCCAAGACACTTGGGGAAAGGTGCAGCAGTTAAAGAGCTGTGGGTCGCTGTCAGTGCTGGTTTCCCCTACCGCAGTCCTCCTGGGATACCCGCACTAGGTTTTGGAAAGCGCCCCTCCGTTTCGCTGCCTTCTGTGCCGCCTCTCGGGGCACCGATTCGCAACCGCTGTGCCCGTCGGTGAGCCGCATCGGCTGGGAGAAAACTGGAGTGGGTATGCTCTGCGCCTCCCTGGTGCTTCGGGATCGTCCTTCGCTCGCGGACACGGCCCTAAGCTCCAGCTTGCCCTGGCATCACAGGCATTTGAGCCCAAGGAATTTGATTGGGGTCCACCCTCAGGCTCGTGGGTTTTTTCTGTATGGTTCAGGCGACTTGAAGCTGCCCGGCCGACTGTGGAGAGAGGGAAGCCGTTGGCGGTGACGCGGTAGAAGGGGGCACCGAGCGGTGCCCGGGTTGTGCACAGGCTGCTGCCGCT